CGGCGCGCGCGAGCCGGGGGCGGGGCGCTCCCCCCCGCGCACACCAAAACCGCCCCGGAGCGGAAAGTCGAGCGCGCTCCTTCTCCTGGGCAGATCCGGGGCAATCCCTTCCCGACAGAGGCGGCGCCTGTCTGGCCGAGAACGGCGGGAAGCGAGTTCAGATCCTCCGCCAAGGCCCACGCCGAGGCGTACCTTCTCCTTTCACTCTCCTTCTCCTTTCCCCAAAAAAGACGATCCGCGCAAGTCCTTGTAGGCTTCCTTCCGCCCTCCTTTGCACGCCCGCTAAGCACACTCACCGGCTGGCTGAGACAGAAAGAAGAAGCCGCCGCCGCGACTCTTGGGAGGGACCCCGCCGCGGCCTCTTTCCTCCGGCCCACGCCTTTGCTTAGGCGGCGGGCCGCGAGCGGCAGCGCTGCGGAGAAGGCGCAGGCTTTTCCCCGGCTCCACATGCTGCAAGGTCGCCGTCGGGTCCAGGCCCTGCTTCTCGCCGCGGTGGCCCTTCCAAACCACAGAGAACGGGGGCGGTGGGTCGGAGGAAGCGCGCAAAGGCACGCGGCTGCCCTCTTACGGTGCCCGAGAGCGCACGCAGGAGAAGGATCCGCGGTGCTTTGGCATTTGGCATTTCCAAGTGGGAAATCAGGCCGGCGTCTTTTGGGGGGGCATTTCCCCCCCCTTGGATGGGCTCTGTGTCTTTTACTGCTACGTGCCGACATACATGACATAGAACTTTTCCATAATACAGAGAAAGTTACCATTTCGGTCACGGATTACCCGTCGCAATCACTGTCTAACCGATTTACCATATTTATGGAATGAGCCACAGCTTGCAGGGTTTACAAAACACACTATGCCATAAGCCATGGTGTAGAAAGCATAACCCTTGGTTGTGTTGTGCAAACACACAAGCAAAATGGATTATTGAGTTAATTGTGGTGCAATTATGTTGTGCAGATAGTGGCTGTGTTTACATGAGATGTTTACACATGGTTAAGAGATTGATGGTTTATTCATCCCAGTTGCCTGGATTCACACCAGGCACTGAACCATAAAGTAAACATGTCTTTTTTCAATATGCTGGGCTAAAATGTGGCTGGCTCATTTGTCATTCTGTGCATTGTGCAAAAAGAGGCAGTGGAGACCCACCTTTGAGCCACCTTTTTAATTACATGTTCTGTGGCTCAACGTACAGCCCTAACCAGAGGAAAAGTCCTCTTCCAATTAGGGCTGAAGGCTGCTGCTGTTTTCTCTTGTGCCGTGCTTGGTGGTGGTTAGTCTTCCTATGCTAAGTAGCCAGACCAGAATAATTATATACATTGATAAGCATTCTACGTCATGTTGATTTTGCGCTCAGTTTATAGAAACTGGAAAAGTAAACTAGGCCTCTGCAAGGTAGCTTAGTGAGGCACTTCACACTGCAAAGGCAGCGTGATTCACCTTGCTGGAGCTTTGCAGTTGTCTCATTTCACATCTGCTTGTTAGCCTCCTCTTACTGCAAAAGCCGGAAGAAGTTCTTGCTCAGGATCTGGATCTATGTATAGGTTATCAGACTAATGAAATGCAGAGGGAGACTGTAGGAGCAAAGAGAGTGAAGCAAAGCACTCAAAAGTGAGGGGTCACCCTGCTCTGTGAAGGAGCTCCAAGGGTGTTTCATTCAAATATCTATCAAAGCAAAAGAAGCCCCGTTTTGGATATCTGCACCAACCTAATGGAAAATATCCCTTTAAAAATCAGCTTGGAAGAAACAATGCACTATGACTTTGGAGAAATCAAGTTGAACAAGTTCTGAGAACCATACAAGTGCAGAGCTCTTTGACCTCAACTCCTGATAACTTCACGATAGAACAGAAGTGGTTTGTCCTTTTTCCAGAATGCTTTTTCCATTCCCATCAAGCCTACACCTGTAGCTCTAAGACTTCCCAGTGTCTCCCAATCACAAACTAACCAGTTCTGACACTGGTTTGTTTTTACACCCAAATTTGTCCAGGTGCTGTCAAACCAATTACATAGCCTTAAACACTGGGTTGGGCAGAAAAAGAGTTTAAATTCAGCATTTAAACAGTTCTTGAAAATAAAACATTGTTTTGGATAAGTGGGATTCTTCACTCCTTTAATCAGTTTTTTAAAATAAAATGTTTAGTGTACAGAGAAACCAATTATTTAAATTGGTTTCTCTGTACAATTATTTAAATTATTTAAATTTAATTTAAATGAGTGATTATTATTTCTGGAAGAGTAAATAATCTGACTGGTTTAAGTACCTGTCGGAGCCTTCCAAAGGATCACGTACCAGGCCATCATTTTAATATATCCTCCTGGCCACTCCTACCCTTTTTTTCCTGAGGATCCTTTCCTAAATGGTGAGTAGAGTGCACCTTGCCTCATTCTTACCTGAGTTCATCTGTATTTATGTGTTCATAATGACACATTTATAATAGAGCATAGGACTCAGCTAGTTATCCTTTCTTGCATGTTATTCCTCCACATGTGCTCCCTTTGTCAGCAAGACTGTGCACAGGCAGGAATCTCGAATTTTCCAGAGGGATTCTCCTCCAGGATAACACCCTCGCCCAATGGTATGTGGGAATGACCTTTGGACACAGGAGGAAGAGGCGCAGACTGGACAATCGGCATTGTAAGAGATACTCAGTCCACAGTGTGGGAAGCATTTCAGAAGGGACCCTCCCTAGTTTTCCAGAGAGTAAAAGGAGGGGAGGGGATAAATACTGTCAGACTTGCAAGATTCTGTTAATGTAACCTTACAATAAAGATAGAGTTAGTGCTCATTGGTGTGCTTCTTGTCCAGACTACCTCAAAGGGCTAAACCCCTGCCCCCCGAAATCATGACAGTCTCTGCCAATCCTGTATAACTGACAGACATGTCAGTAAATGACTGCCTCTCTTTTAAAGTATTAACATGTTGATTTGTTCAGTTGAGAATTCTAACAGTATAGGAACATAGAAAGATTCCTCATATCAAACTATTTCTGTGATTTAACTGAACATATTATCTAGTTCTCTACCACAACTGCAAAAGCATTTCCAACTTGGTATGGGATTTATTGGTATTACAGTGCAAGAGCACCATGTTCCATTCTCTCCACGAATATGTTTCACAGAGACGTACAGCATGCTCCTTTCTAAGCACCATTGTGCTATGCTCCTGGGTCCAGCTGTCCAATATAATTTTAGCAGGTGCATCCTTCTTATTCTGCTATTTCCACAGTTAAAATATGTGCACTTATGAGCACAAGTGACTCAGCTGTTGGCTGATTGTGGTTTTTGTATTTTGGGTTCTGGCAGTGCTTTGAGGGAAGCAAGTAAGACCAAAGAGGGTGGGGGGGCACTAAGTGAAAAGAATAAAAGAAAAGCTACCCAGTTTGTCCTTTCTATTTGAAATTGGCCTTTATTTGAAAACAGGAAGCATGAAGACTGTATTAGAGATCTACGATAGCAAAGTAAGGCAATGCAGAGCTTCAGATTGGGAGGCAAAAACGTGCTTTGGAGCCTGTGAGGTGTTCCCGTAGCACTTGTCTGCAACTTCTGGAAGCAGCTACATTTTTTCTCTTGCATCGTGCAGCAGACTGCAGCTGCAGTGTGATCCCAGGGAAAGATGTATCTGATTTACAGAGATGCAGACGTGTGCTTCTTGTGTGACTTTGCATACCCTGGAGCCCCTTTTTCACTTCCAAGTTTGCAGCACTGCACAACCTTCTGACCTAAATGCACGCAGCTCAAGAATGAAAGCAATCTTTACTTTTTGCAACAGCCATCTGTATGGCTGTGCTCACAAAATGTACAAAACCATAGCAAGTTGAACTGTGGTTTACTGAATTAGCCCAGTTGCTTTGAATCAGAGAGAAACCGCCATCCTTGAGTTTATTCAAGGCACTGACCCATAGACTAGCCAGGCATATTTTAACCAGTTCTTCACTGCAAAGACTACCTTTTTCAGAAAGGAGATTGTGAAGTGCAGTTGCTCATTCTGAATGTCACATGTATCAGCTGGTGAAACAGTAACAGTACTTCAGTGTTGTCCAAACTTGGCCACTTTAAGATGAGTGGACTTCAACTCCCAGAATTCCCCAGCCAGCCATTGGGAGTTG